AATGCCTAGATATTTTACAAAACCGTCAATCGTCGCTTGATACGTGACCGTTCGTATGATATCCGATCCGGCACGCAAGAAATCCAAGTGAGTAGCCAAGATGGCATCCGGTTTCGTTACGAGGTAACGTGCGGCCCATAGAGGATCACCGTCAGCTTCTCCACCTGCATTGGTGAACAGTTGAGTGGCCCCACCTTCTAGCACTTTTATCTCCGACATAGTCTTTTCTTCTTTTCTAATTTTACAAATTTAATTTCGTGTGTTAAGATATCGTACGATTACACGAAAATTTGACTGCGACGAATACAATTGTTACCGTGTAAATCTACGAATATATTTTGATTACGTGTCGTGCTTCACAATTGTTCACAGTACTACAAGCAGTTGATTCAATGCGCGAGTTTTATATGCGTTGAAACAAAATGTCTGGGATGACGAGGCGTTTTCGATGTAACAGCAGATAATGCAAAATTATAATAGATAAACGCCCCTTTTTATCTGAACTTCTTACAACTTCTTTCTATCGAGGAAAAATGAAAGAAAGAGAAAAAAATAAATAATGTATGATATTGATTAATGAAATTATAAATTCTAGTAAATTCATTCACTTCTGTAACTTTCACCTCGTTTCAATATGATCCATTTGACTCTCGTAGTCTCCGTGACGGACCCAATACATAAGATCAGCTTCTTAATTGGATGAAAGGGATATTTAATTGTTATTTGTGATAAAATTATTTTTAACTCGTATAGAATATAAAGTTGGAAATGTATATTTGTGTATATGTGCTTTGTAACATGTAATTGTAATGTCGTAAGTATCCGCAATGTACTGATAATGATATCGAGTTCGTGAGTTCACTAATAATAAATCCAAAAAGAATTGTACGGATCAATCCTCTCTTGTAGGAGGTCAGCGTGTTATCTATCTCTATCAGGTTGATGTAACAAAACTTTTATATTAACTATTTTATATTAACAAGCGTTATAAGGCTGCAGCACACACTTTTACATGATGCATAAGAGAATCAACCAATCAAAATGCTTCTCTTCCGTGAAGTGGGAGGAAAAGAAGAATTATGATTTGTTGATTCTCTCGCATTATGTGTGCTGCGGCCTTCACCCGTTTCATAAAACGTCATTGAACAATAGGTATATATTATTATGCAGTATTATCGCAGCCGCTCAGTGAATGTTCGCTACTCGGTAGTCGATAATTAACAATAAGTATACGATCTATATATTGATGTATGTGCATATATTGGATACAAGCGTTCTCTAACCCGATTACAGTAAATGCTCATTATACCTATTTGAAAGAACAGTTTCATGTCAGTCATTTCTGCTTATCTTTATTAAATTTAAATTTATTTACGCGAAATTCTACAATTTCTATGTTAAAATATATATATGTATATCTGTATATACATATATACAAACTTCGAAAAAATATACATTAAATAATTATTATGCATATAATTTTCTAAGAATTATTGTTACGGAACGTTGTGTTTTAAGAATTGTTCTCCGATTTTTGGGTCAATGCATTTAAGCAATTTATCCTGGGATTGGAGGTCAGAATGTGCGATTAAGAATGTTCAGTAGGAAGGATAGGATAATTTTTAGGAAGGGTGACCTTGAACCCGCGGTGCCAAAGAGTTCGCGAAGTTCGTAGGCGAGTCTGCGTGGATCGCCTTTCTGGATGTTTTTATAATTGGGAAAGGTGAAATCAATTTCTAATGGTTCGAGGATATATTCGCGTTCGCGGGATGGATCTAGTGGCTTATTTTGATTTAAAATAGACGCGTTAGTTTTTCGAAATAAGGAAAAGGATCGTGATTTTTATTAAAGACTGTTTTGATCTGGAACCTTAATCTCTTCTCCTTTTGTCTTCGTCCACCTTTTGAAGGCATGGAAGCAACGCGAAAGAATTGTCAATTTTCGAGGAAAATGTCTAAGATGGGGGCCATACCATTGGCAGCGACAGTCACAACACAGTCCTCTAAATATAATTCGTGAATGCTCCGAGAAAATGCTTAGGACGGGGCCCACACCATTGGCAGCGACAGTCTTAGCAACCCCTCGGATATTCGTATATATTACTAAACGAGACGCAGAGTTGAGATTTCGGTTTCGGCTGACTAACTTTTATATTCCGTTTATTAGACAAAAAGGAAAAATAAATGACACAAAAAGGAAAAAACCTACGTCTAAATGCGAAGCGCGAGGATAGTTCCAACTAGAGAATGATGGTTTTTACTAAAAAGAAAAAAACTACAATGTTATATTATGCGTTATTATATAATAATAGTATTATGTGCGTTATATTATTTTATAAAAGGGATTCTTACGCATTCCTTAGGATGACGCATAAAAGTATACGAACGTGGCGTATCTCTTAGCTAAATATTCCTTTCAGGTTTAGGGAATATGACGTTTCGAAATAAAGGTATAAGATATCGAAACAAAAATGGAATGCTAGATAAAAGTAACATACGTTTGTGAATGGGAGAAGGAAATCTACTGGGATGTAACAATAATTACACTCGTTACATGTGTGTGTGCATAATTATGAACGTATTTTATGTATAGTTTTGTATAATTACACTCGTTACATAACTGCTTATCTATAATGATGTATGAAACATTTTTTATCAGGCTGTTAGCTAATGTGTGTACTGTTAATTTCATCTTAAAATTATTTTATTTTATTAACATTTTTATATGAAAGTTATTCTTAAGTTTATATTGAGCAAAAAATGAAATATAATCTTTATATAAGCATAAAAAAAAATTATTAAATTGCTTGTCAAATGATATTACTACTCTTCTCTAGTTCTGTTTATAAAAGCGTTTCAAGACTAAAAAGATTTCGGCGCATAATTTATGGAATCAAATATGTATATAAATTCACATAGAAATATTTAAGCACTAAGATTCGTTTTAATTAAATACAAGATTTTTCTTTTTTTTTTTTAATAAAAATACGAATCGAATATAAAGGAATATATTATGTAAATGTTTTATGCTGGAATATATGTAAATATTTTTTAACATGTAAATGTAACATAAATGAAAAGAAATGATAATTATTATATCATAGTATTATAATATTAGGTCTACAACTTAATTTTTAGCTTTTTTACTTAGTTTCAATGTAAAATTATAAAAGAATGAATATTAACTTTACCAAGTAATCCCTTTCATTTTCCACACATTTTTGCCATCTTTCAGGTAACTGTCGGATTTCGCTTCGGAAAAAGATGATTGTTTTGAATTGATTAATTTTATGATGAAAAAAATTGAAATTGCCGTCATGAAATCTTTGGAACCACTTTTTAGCAAATTATTTCCGCGGCATTTTCGTCAGCTGAAAAAGAGGCAGTATCTGAAATGCTGCTTTTCAAACAACATTTTTCGCTCTTTAAAGTGTTCTAAAAATTAAAAAAAAAAACGACAAATATCATCTGAATTTAGGTTTAGGATCCAATAAATTTTATCTATAATACTTTAAAATAAAAAAAAATTTAAGTCAATCCATCGAGTAGTTCTTGAGATATCGTGGAGACCAGTTTGAAAAATATGATTTTTCAGAAAACGCGTTTGATTTGGTTAATGATTTTTTCGAGTTATTAGCAAAATAATGTACCTTATAGCTAATCAGCAATTCCAGGGCTATACATCAATCCTTCGTCGACTTCATACTGCTCCATTTCAGCGATTTGGGCGGCTTTCTTCGATAAATAATGCATGCTACAACCGCACATATTAGTGTATAGAGACGCATGCTTTCCGTTATTTCAATGCCATAGCGCATCTAGCAATATCTGGTGGTGCTTTTTTATGCAATCGTTATCGGCCAAACCGCTTTGGGAACATATTCTACACATCGTAAGCTATCGAAAAATGCAAAAAAAAATCGATTTTTTGGTCGAGTTTCATGAGAACCTCCCTTAAGGATGACGCTTCAAAACAATTGTATAAGAAAAAAATTCAAATTTGAATATATGGTGTAGTCAATTGAATATAGGAACGGAAAATTAAGATCCAATATAACATGTTATTCTTGAGTGGGAAATGATATCTTACATATACGTTATAGATAACACTTAAGCATTAACTGTCACTTTTGATTATGTAAGTTTAACGTAACAGTTACATAACTGTGTTTGCTGGGAAATATACATGTCTGTTTATATTAATCATATATATTATTTACCTTTAATAGTATATTAGAGATAAATAATCAATGTTTCTAAATGCGAATATTATAACATTGTTTCTATGTTACAATAACAATACTCTTATAAAAAAATATATATCTAACTATAGGCTTTGGCAATCCGAAATAATAATCAAATTGAATGTTAGCTCCCAAATAAACCTCCAACTTGGGGGTTTACACTTATACTTAACTTGATGAGTGTTATTTTGGACCTTCATTATTCAATCAAATGTACTTTCTTCTAAGACTATTGCAATAAGATTTGCAACGTTTTTGCTCTATCTTCTAATAAAATATTTTTGCAAAGTTTCTACAATCCTTCTGTATTGCATGAGTTTAGCCACCCCCACTCGCCCAAACAGCGCGTGACTAACATCGCGGAATGTATAATCTTTAACGAGATAGTACTCCCACGTAGCACACTAGCGCTTAAAAAGCGCTAAAAAAAACGCGTATGCAGTCGCATTACTTTAGCAACTTTTTAGAGCTTTAAAAGCGCATTAGCGCTTTAAAAGCGTTCTCAAAATCCACTATGAAAAGCGCATTATTAGCGCATATAATCAGCGCAAAATAAATACAGTTTTATAACACATTTATTGCACTTTTCATGTGCAGTAAAAGAAGAGTGAGCGCTTTTAAAGCGCTTTTTACTATAGAACTTATAATACTGGAATAGGAATGCTAGTGTAGAACTGTGAGCAACATTTCTAAAATCTTAATCAAGACTTGAAATTAGCCGCATGCAATAAAAGTGCATAATTAACAGCACTTTTGGGAGGTGCAATCTGAACAGCGCTTCGAAAGCGCTTTACACGCGCTGGTGTGCTACGTGGGCTTGTTGCTTTTGTGTACAAGTAAGTGCGCGCGTGAGGTTTTAGCGGGTGTTCGGCGTCAATGGTGGTTTACTGTTAAATTTAAATCAAATTCTAGTTATTTTTATAAGTCACCACTGCTCCTACTCAATATATATGTCGCTAATTTATCTTAAACAATAAAATTAAACAATTTAATTCAAGAAAATGTATTACATTCGACTTAAATTTGATTTATTATCTACTAACAATAAGTAGATGAGTTAATATGGATGCTGTTTGCTTTGATTGAAATTAATTATACAAACTATTGATTTACATTTTGACACATGGAAGTTAAAAATAATAAAATGCTATTTAACTCAAAGAATTTAGTTATCGTTGCTTTGTTTTTTTGATATCTAGTAATATAGTGGAGATATTTATTATTTCATTTATCATCAATTGTTCGTGTATGTTTTGTAAAAAGGAAAAAAATATCATAATAATAATAGCTCGTGTCGCACATGGAGGCGGATTTCATGATGTTTAAAAATGTATGCATTACATTTAAAAACAATACCAAATATATAAAATTTTCATAGATTGTTCTATTATTACATCTGAAAAACATCTGTGAAAAATTTGTGCACAATTTTCTTATTTAAAGAAAGGTTATTTAATTTTTTAATTGATTTTTGAAAAGTTACTTATTCTTTTGTTTGCTTGATTCTTATGTCAAATTATGTTTTGTAATATTTAGTTGCAAATTTTATAGGAAAGTAACATGAAGAATTAAATTAAATCTTATACACATGTATTGATCAAACAATTATAAATATTTGTGCAAAAATTTATTTTAATTTACTTACTCGTTTAAAAGTTATTGATCTAAAAAAAAAAAATACGGTCACTTTTTGCTGCATAAAAAAACATATAAAGCCATTACTTTATTATTTATTGTTTTGTTTCTGTAATTTCAAAACGTACTCACGGGCTAATATCAGAATTTTTTAATGATATTGATTGATAGTAGCTTATTTTGACTGATATGTATATAGCCAAAGCAATATTTTTAATAATAAAACACCTATATTCTTGTTGGATGTCGGCTTTATAAGCGCTCTATTTCAAGGTAAGTAACACGTAAGTATACACATAGCCGAGCAAAAATATATGTGTATAGAAAACTCTCGTTCTCAAATCGCAATAAAAACGACGACCGTAAACTATGCCTTCGTAAAAAATCCTTTTCCCAAAGACGAGTGCACACAATACGTAAGAAAAGAAAAAAATATATAAATACAATGTGATATAACAATCTATCGATAGTTAACGCCATTATCAGCTACAATTACACAAAATTGTATATTGCACTGGACATTTTGAGAATGTCCAATTTAAATTGTATTCTGGGAGATATCTTCTGGATAAAGGTTATTTAGAGGTGAAGAAATTGAGCATAAAACATTATATTGTACATCACTGAAATATTGTGTTACAATATTTTTAAGATAGATATACTATTACTGTAATGTCGCAACAGTTTCGTAACAAAAATTTGCAACGTTTTTGCGATGTTGCAATATTTTTACAATGCTTCTACAATCTTTCAGTAGTGTATGAAAACGGATAAAAATCATACTTAATCAAATGGCATTTAGAAAACAGTAATATCTCAAAGTAAGATGCTAAAATAATTTTCAATCTTTCTATATTTCTTGACTCTTTGGCATATAAATAAAATTAAAGATGTATGTGTGTGCTACAGATACAAACCAAACTTAAGATTCCTGTTACTTCAGCCATATTGAATCGTGATGTTATAAGCAAGAAATGACACGTTGGTTTTCTTGCAAACTATTTGTAAATAAAGAAAATTTGGATGAAACGAAATAATGGGATTGCTTTAAAGTACATATAAAAATGGGCTGAAACTATATCGCTTATCTACCCTTGAGAGTCAATAATTAGTCGAAAAAGGCTCCTAAAGTAAAAATAGGTTACACATGTGTATTGAGTAAAAATTGGTAAATGCACTTTGCGTGTCTCTTACGACTATTTATTGACTGTTAGGGGAGGGCAGTGAGAAAAACCATCAAAATTCGATGTCAATTTGATGTTGATTCGATGTCAAATTGATGGTCATTTCTCACTGGAAAGGATAGCCTCGACTCATTTTTACAAGTACTTTAAAACGATTTTATCATTTTATTTCATTCAAATTCTCTTTATTTACAAATGGCATGTAAGAAAAATCAATATGACGCTAATTATAACACATTTCTCGCTTATGACGTCACGATTCAATATGAGTGAGTACTCACATTAGCCATATTGAATCGTGACATCGCAAATAATTAAAAGGATAATTTTTGCATTGTTTTAGAAAAAAATCAAGCTTGCAGAAATGTAAATGAATTATTATTCATATATGTATAATTATATTTAATTATATGTTATATTAAATTATATATAATTATATATGTATTTATGAACAGTTTTTTTATTTATCATTTCTTCAAATTTTATTTTTTCTAAAAGAAACAATGCGAAAATTATCCTTGTAATTATTTTTTATATTTTTTCATTATTTTCATTAACATTATTTTTATTAGGGTGAACAGTAATTATACAGATGATAAACAGATGTACCGATGTACGGATATGTATGGACATATTTATATATATTTATAAATATTTATACATGTTTACGTATGTTTACATATATTTATATAGTCTTAATTCGTGAAAAATTGTTTAACGGTTAATCAGCAAACAAAATGTTTTTAAAAAAAAATTAAAAAACTTTTTTAAGATTTTTAGAAACTTTAAAAATGATGAATTACCTTTTATTATTAAAAAAATGAGTCACCTTTTATTATTAAAAAATGTTTATTTTAATGTTTACAAAAATATTTTAAAAATAATGCATTTGAGGCTTTTAAGGGTATTATCTTAAAATATACCAGAAAGTTTGCGAGTTATCGCCATGTTGCCGTTCATTTTTAAAGACTTTTGTTAAGGGCTTTTTATTTTAAAGCGATTTTTAAATGCTTTAAAAATGAATGGCAACATAGCAGTAACTCACAAATTTTTTAGTATAATATTTGAAAAATGTATTTAAAGTGCTTTTAAGATCACTTTTTGTAATATTGTTTAATGATTGAGTGTAACATTAGTAGTTGTGATAAAAATTTCACCTCATAATGACATTGCAAATGAAAATAATAATGTGATATTACTGCAATGACTTTTTAACGGTTTTGTTTTAACGTTAGAAAAATATTGTTTAATATTAATATGTTAATATTAATATGTTTAACATTTAAAAGAGAGAAAACGTTTTTTGACATTTAAAAAAAGCATTTATTCCAACATTTATTTAAAAAAACGTTTATTTAAAATTAAAAAAATGATTATTTTATATTCAAAATATTTTTTTAATATTTAAGAAATGTTTATTTGTTATATTTAAAAAATATTTATATATAAGATAAAAATATATCGAACTATGTAGTTAGCAATTAGATCTGCTAATTGGATAGTGATGTCCTATCTGTAACAAAATTGATATTTGTTATCATGCTGATGTGAGTTTTTATTACGATATTATACTAAAACTTTTATACTGTGCGACATATATGATAGATGTCGAACGCAGTTTTACACTTTCCCTCTTCTGGTTTCCCTCTTATAAGTATTCCTCTTTAAGTCGCGAACTTTTAGCATCTACAGCATTATCGTTATATGGATATGTCGTTTTATACCGAGATAATTCCAATTGTTTAACGAAGAAGTTCTCTCTCTCTCTCTCTCTCTCTCCCCATCCCACCTTTTTTTCCTCTCTTTCACTTTTTATTAAGAAAAGCTTTCTGTAACTTTGCGTGGCAACTGATTCCATTTTTTTATAAAGTCCGACAATACTAATATTATTATTCATTCGCAACATTCCTAGGAAACTTAAAACATAAAGGGCCACATTGTTCATTTGATCGGTTGTCGCAATGGCAATTTTTGACAAGTAATAGTAGAAATTGCGAATATGATTACAGCTTACAAGACGATATCATGCGGCTGTGTTGCTTAAGAATGAACGAGGCCGATCCGCGGTCGAGACTGGAAAATGGTATGAATGATATTCACACACTGACGTAACCGTAAAATAGAAATGCAAAAGCGATATTATATATGTGTATATTATATCTAATATTCAAATATAATAACATAATATCATTAGATTAAACATTTGTATATTATATATTAAAAAATTACCATAGTTTTACATATCCAGAATACATATCCAGAGTACATATCCAGAATACAAGGATCAATTTTAACACAACTACACAGTTGAAAAAAATATGTTAAATTTAACATATCACATGTCCCAAACGGTTCACTCAAATTTTTGTGTTAATTTAACATAATACGAGTATGTTGAATGGTAACACGGATACTATATTTATATTTTAACAATGGAATGTAATCTTGAATAAAACTTGAAGAGAATTATGTGTACAATCAACATAATTATTATGACAAAATTAATATATAACAAATATTCTCTAAAAAACGATTCATCTAACAGCATTGCTCAGTCTTGTTGAGTAAAATCAACACCCTTATTCTGTAAATTTTTTAATCGTTTCAATAAATTTACACTTTATATTTATTATATTTATTTAACATAAGAGACATATGTTAAATTTACATCTAAACATCTACTTTACTTAACACAAAAACTTTAACCAGCAGATTTTTCCACAAAAATACACAAATTTTTCAACTGTGTATGTATTATTTTTTAATATATAAATCGATATATCATATCTGATTGGTTTGATATATTAAAATAATATTATATTTAAGTAACATATTTTATGATTTCTTTTCATCAAAAAGTATAGATCTTATATCAGAATCTTATTTATTCATTTTTATAGGAACTACAAATAGTCGATCAGTAGAGAAGGATATAGAAAAATTTGGACTTTATCAGGTGGTGATATTCGCATTTATTGGCATAACATTGATGCTAACGGCAGCATTTGCGTTTTCTTACATGTTTATTGCGAGCGAAGTTAAATACAGGTACAAGCATCAAACCTATTTGAGACAATGTCAAACTTTTATTTATAAGAAAGAATTAAAGAAGAAAAAAGTCATCTACATTTAAATTTTAAATGTAGATGTTTAGTGCCGGAATGCGAGCATCCAGAAAACACGACATTCGAACCGTCGTGGCTGAACGCTTCCGCGCCGAAAATCAATGGAGTCATTTCTCGTTGTACGCGCTTCGTGGTACAAAATGATCATCAGGACACATGCACAGAAGCATCATTTACCAACGTCACTCGCGATTGTGATTCTTGGATTTACGTTCCGAATGAATACACGATACTCAACGAGGTAATATGGCGCAATAATTAACGTGTATTTTTAAAGTTTTTTTAAACTTACTCCGAGATTTAACGGCAGATTGATTTCTTTCTTTTTCTTCGCTTATTTCAACGTAGTGGGATTTTACCTGCAATGATAATCAATGGAAACTCACATTAGTGGGCACGATACAGAGTATTGGTCAAATCGCCGGCTTGACTTTCGCTGGATATATATCTGACAGGTGAGAAAACGAAATAATATCCCCGGTGTTTTAATTAATGATGAATTTTGTGTAAAATATTCCTCTACATTTGTCATAGATAGCGATTCTGTCGAGTTTTCAGTTTATTCATACCTTTACGGTAGCAGAAGAAGAATATAACTGCATAAAAAATATAGTGTTGGGAAAACCTATGACAGAAAAAAAACCTTGAAAAGAATTTTAAAATTTATTATTTTAAAAAATCTTAATTTCATTTAAGTACACTTTTCCAAGAATAATTTTAAATTTTATTATATTATATGACTAATTTATATAGTAATATAATATTATCACATATATTTTATAGAATAAAATTTAGCATTATACAATTTACGTTAAATTAATTGTCATATAACAATGTAATATGTAAATGATGACGTGCATGCGTGATAAATTGATGCTATACATATTTTTTCTCTCTTGATATTATAATAACTTTAACAAATTTAAAAATTTCGTTATTTTTACGTCTTTTTCTTTGAAAACTAGATACGTTAATTATAGATAATCAACTGTATTGCAAAATATTAATTTTGTTATACATTCCTTCACGGCGATAAGTCGCGATTGGTTGCGAGAACTTTTAATTTAGTTAAAAGGACAAGTTTTATTGTTGCGAAATAGTATAAATGATCTGTAACAATATTTCTGCAGTTTGTCGATTTCACGGATTCTCGATAAGAAAACGTAGCACGTATTTCATGTCGAGGGGGTAATCACTATCTGAAATATTGTCTCACAGATTACATGATTTCATTTAATTTTATATAATTTTATTTGATGATAAATAATTTTTCCTTACTATATATGCGGTCATTTGGTAAAATAAACGATTTTATCTAATATTACACAATTATTTCTTGTAATTGTCGGATTATATATCGAAATTTTATATAAATTTTATAATGATTTCAGGGACTCCGTCCCACGATTACATTAAATGATTACCTCCTCGTTTCACGTGGTACGACGAGGAATTTCGCATGCGGGATGAGAGAAATGCGCTTTACCGGGACAACGAAAAATGTACATAAAGATTTCTAAATATTATTAGACTGATATCAATTTGTTGCCCTGTTTGATACAACAGTGTCCCGGTTGTCATTTCTATGCTCACCTACTCACACCATATATATAATCGTACATACTTATATACTTACAGACAGTATGCATACATACGCAAGGTAGGCATAGACAAGAATTTCCGGCATCACATTTGTCTCTTTCTATCATATACAAAATAATCAAAATAAGCTATTTATATAAGTCTGTGGATGCACATCTGTGTGGGTCCATATTCACAATTTCCAGATATGGGAGACGAGTCGTTTTGACGATGGCAACGTCTCTGTGTGGAGTTAGTGGCTTGATATATTCCTTCTCCGTGAATTATTACATGTTTCTCACCTTTCAATTCATTAATGCCTTCATAGCGGCTGGAATCTACAGCGCAGGATTCATTTTGGGTGCGTTAGTAACGGTACAATAAATATGTTTGAGGAGAATACAAAATAAATGCGACCTATAAACACAATTATGTTGTTCCCGCTCTATTTACAAGTGTTCACAAATGATGCAGAACAAATTCTTGATGCAATGCTTTTTACTCGCGTTTGGATGCAATTACGTAAAATATACAGACATTTTTTCGAGTTGTTTATTCTGAATTTATTAAATATCTTAAGAAATGTAACATCTTAGATCCTTTATTATTAATCTTTTTATTATATTTGTATACACACACATATTTATATACATATGTTTCTATATCGTAAAAATTTTGTTAATAGCATATCATGTAGAGATCGTTTAATACAGATAAAAGTTATTGCCATTTTCTTCTTTATATTTCACATTCTCCTAGCTTAGAATCACAGATCGAAATCTCTGCATGCATTTCACAATATTAATTCTATGTTTTTTTTGCAATAATATTAATTCTATGTTTCTCTCCAATATAACTTATATGTGATTCTGTTTGATAATAATTTACATACTTTTCGCTCTCAGGAATGGAGATGATGGGAACGAAAAGTAGAGTTTTTGGAAGCACTATTATCAGCTCCATGTACGCCATGGGTGAGATTTTATTAGGACTTTTCGCCAGTTGGCTCAGATCTTGGCGAATGCTTATTAGAGTAGTGTACGGTCCAGCACTGCTAGCTATCTTCCTGCCTTTAGTCATTCCAGAATCAGTCAGGTAATTCTTTTCAACCTTAATGAATACTATCGGGATCGATTAGCAAGATTTTAAATTGGCTAATGTTATCTATAATTTATTACGTTTATTGAATTATAGATTATATTTATTGAATTATATGATATGTATAATCGATTCTCTGGATATTTATTCCAAATTCAGTTGATAGTAATGTAATTAATTGCATTAGAAGTTTTAGAGATTTGCTAGAATTGTTTATAATATTATCTTAATTTTGACTTTTTATACTGAACTATTAGACGGAATTTATTAAAGAATTTTTACATGCGATAGAATTCTTTTAGCTACGAAATGAGTACATAACAGATAATGCAATTTTGAAGGTGGTTACTGTCAAAGAATAAACACAAGGAAGTACATAAAATATATCATAAAATGGCTCGGATGAACGGTCTGCAAGTAACGGACGAAGCGATCAATACGTTCAAAGAGCTAAGTATAGCTAAGGTTAAAACGGTACGTCTTTGTTTTTCTTGCAAATCCACGTATTTAATTATAGTATTAAATATGTCTTATTTTCAAATTGGCTACTGTTATCTAAAATACAACTATTGTTCGTAACTTTCAATACAGTCAGCAATTTTTGTATTATTCCATAAACGTGTTAATATAAAGTAGTGAATTAGATATGATCTTTGTAACTATATGAGATTGATACAATTTTTCAGAAAAGCGAGCTGGTTGCATCGGACAAGAGGAAACCGATTGTGCAAGTTTTATATAGCTCAGTGATACTCATTCGATTACTAATCTGCTCGTTCTGCTGGTTTACGAACGGATTCGTTTATTACGGACTGTCGTTGAATTCCGTGTCGTTAGCCGGGGATAAGTATATCAATTTCATACTAATCGCGGTAGTTGAGATACCAGCATATTACCTCAGCTGTATACTGAACAATTACATTGGCCGTAAGCCAACGCTTTCCAGTGCATTCCTGCTAAGTGGAGCGTTCTGTCTTGCATCTTTATTTATACCAAAAGGTAAAGAGATAAAAAAAATTTCTCAGATGTATAGCTACTCGGTTTTGTGGATCGCTTGCAAAAACGGTTAAATCAAATTTACTAGAGTAATTTTTACAAGGAGAGAAATTTGAAAGTATTTCTTGAAACAAATGTGCACTTTGCTATGTTATGTCTTATTGATAAGAGACGAAAGGTGTGCGCGCGCATCTGAAGCTGTTATTTAAACTATGAAGTTTTGTTTCCTCTTTCTTTTTTTCCACGAACCTACAATTTCTATATTTGCATGTGTCCTCGTTAAAATCGTGAAATAATAGAAACACGCAAAAATATAAATTGCAAATGTGTGATACGTCGCGTTGCATGTTACTCAAGTAATATTCGATTGTTACAACAAGGTCGAGATAATAGCACGTTTTATTAGGTGTACAAAAAGGTTCTGAGCCTTTTTTTTGTAAAATTCAATCTTTATTCGTATGTAATCGTACGGAAATGGCTTGCTGCGTAACGACAAGCTGTTCTGCAAGCTCCTTTTCAGTTTGCGCAGAGTTTATATCCAGCAGTGCTTGCAATTCGTCCGTTTCAATCTTTTCAGGGCGTCCAGCACGCGATTCATCTTTAAGACTGAAATCTCCTTGGCGGAACTTTTGATACCATCTTTTACATGTAGCATGACTTACAGCATTCTCTCCATATGCAGCACACAAATCATATTGCAGTGGCTTCAGCAGCATTTTTCTTCACATGAAACGCGTTATGTGCATCAAACGCCAAACCGTATGGCATTTTAGAAGGCCAAATGTTAACGCTTTAAAACCGCAAAAGGGCGGGAAGATATATAAAATTTGAATTGTTATTTCGGTTGTATGAAATCTAAAGCTCAGAACTTTTTTGTACACCTAATAATTGATTTTAATTGAATGTGAGACTTGACGAATGACGAATTTTGTGTCAATTATGACTGCGAATTGCATAAGTTACTTTGGTACATGTGAATACGGATCCGAGAGCAAAAGTGTCTGATGCTACGTTTCGGCGTCGTTCGGTGTTGCTCACGTAATTATATCGATTATAATGGATTATCACGGTACACAATCCCGATGATTTATCGCCGTTCTGTTTCAGGAACCTGGAATTACGGGTTTTTACTTTTGTACATGGGTGGGAAGTTGTGTATCGCTATGTCGTTCGCGACTATATACCTCTTCACAGCAGAGTTGTTTCCGACGACGGTCAGGAATTCTCTGCTCGGAATTTGCGACATGATGAGCCGCATTGGGTCAAGCTTATCGCCGCAAATACCTCTTCTGGTAAGTGAAAAGATACGCTTTGTAATAAATAGATGTTTTCTTAATTTGCATTTCTTGAATTGTACTTCGATAATACTACGGCGCCGCAAAGGTGTGTATAAAAATAAGGTATAAAATATATGTATAACACTTAGTATTTATCATATTTAGTATTTGCAATTTCATTAATTAATATAATAAAAGTAAACATAATTTCTGAAATATATATAATATACATATACATATTTTTGTTTTTATAAATTTGATAAATAATAATAATAAATGTAATATGATTCACACATATAATTGGAGTAGTATGTTATAATACTTTATTTCCAGCAAAAAATATTCTGCAACACATTTTCAGTCACTGTTTAAAAATTTATTACACAAAATACTCTGTTTTAAATATTTCGTTAATTACACATGTCCACATTTATTTTCAGGCACGATTAATGCCTTCACTGCCATTAATCCTGTTCGGGTCCATGAGCATAATCGCGGGCGTTTTGTCTTTGGTACTCCCAGAAACTTTAGGAATGAAACTTCCGGACACTGTACAGGAGGCAGAGGAGATCAGCAAGTCAAATAGGACTCGTAAAATTTCAGATCTTAACACGTTGCCACACCAAACGATTATTCACTAAGGCGCTTTTATGTAGATGCTTAGCATCTCGCTGTTCATTTCCTATTGTTTTAGGTACATCTCTCCTCTCTCTACTACATTTTATACAGATGCTAATTACCTCTCCACAAGATGCCAGCATGTGGATAAAATCATCTTATATTTGCGTGATAATATAATATTATATGAAATATTAATTCTATTTGTTTATGTATTCATAATATCAATCAATCACAAAATTGTGATCATGATACTAATATGTATCGCTGTAAAATTATAGCTACTCGCATATAAAGAAAATTTCGAAGTATAATAACGTTCATCGGATTAATATAATACACAGAGGAGAAATTGAAACGTTTTTTAAGACTGCGTTCGAGAAATGCGCTATTGTACCATTCTATTTTTATCATTTATTAGATGTAAAACAAGAACACAATGATGCAATCCTCATAGCATACTTTTCAAACGCAGTTTGAAGTAATGAATTTGATTCCAGGTAAGTATCTGATGCGTAAAAACTTACATTAATTGTTTAATGTGGTGAGATAAACGATAAGCTGTTGGGCTCTAAAACGTATTAAGTTTCTCTTTTTTTTCTTTAACTTTTTTCCTATGGTGAGAAAACAGTGATAGCTTTTAAAAGTTTAATCCAAGAATAGTATCATGTACGAATATACTCTGATATAGCTCTTAATGACAGTGTCGTTATTTATTGTATCGTTATTCATTGCATCGTTATTCATTACGCAAGTATTGTATATAATAATGATAAAAAACTGCGCACTGACGGTACAGCAATATTAAATTATTATTGAAAGTTATAGAATCGAAATATTGAGATTTTTATACCTTAGTGTCGGAAATATAAAACTTACGTCACAAGTATTCTGTTGCCAGAAATCCATACTTACGTACTTTTCATCGAAGTTTGCGAAATCTAATGTGCATAATAAAAAGAATTTATGACCCATGCATTAAGTAATAGTACTTTCTCCTTTCATTAATCCATATTAAAACTTATTGAGGAGTATAAACACCTTAGATATTACCTTAGATATTACACTTTAGAATATTACGATCATCTGATCGTAATATTAAAAATTTAAGTACAATACAGAGAGAGAGAGAGAGAGAGAGAGAGAGAGAGAGAGAGAGAGAGAGAGAAAGTATTATATTATAAATTTAAAAAAATAATATAGGTTGAATAACATGAATTAAGATTATTAGTACTTATAATATATATATAATAAATAAGCAATAATGAATAATTGTAATAATTAATAAAACAATGTTTTACGAAAACATATGTGTAACTAAATGCTTAAAAAAATAGCATCATTATGTTTACAAATATAAAAGAAGTAAATCATTTTTAATAATTCTGAAAGAGTAAATACAATACAATATAAATTACTTTATATGATAGCGGTTTACACCTGTTTTAAATTACTCTAGAATTTTTTCTTATAACTGTTCTTTTTAAGAACTTTTTAATATACAATTTCATTTGAAATCTGCGATATGAAAATGTTTTATTAAGTTATTTCATATTTTATTTTTTTTTATAATATAATAATAACACACTTAATGTATTTCTTCTGTTAGTTTAATATTTTCCTGGTTTTGCCTTAATTTTTTTAAGAAAATATTTATTGAATTTATATATAATACATATAATGTGATCGTATAATAATAACAAATTACAGAACAATCAGTAATGTAGTTAATATAGTTAATAATAATGATTTTTAATCTCAGATAATTTATAAAATTCAGAATCAGAATACAAACTCAAAAGGAAAAATTCAAAATTACAAAAAAGGATATTTCAGCGGCTTTTTATCAATCGCATACACATACACACATTGTGTATACGCGTATACACAATACCATGATAATTTTATTCGCTGTATATATGTATAGGCCACTTAGTGCCACAAATGCTTTGAAGCATTCTTTGATTGGTCAATCAAATAGGTACTTGTATAATAGCATATTTATTTATATATCAACATTCATTATCCCGTATCAAATAAAGTAATCTAATCCTTGTATTACTTATTATCTAATACACAATATGTTTTATTTGTTTGTTGATAATTATACGGTAAATTTAACAGATAGCGTTAGTAATGAAATCTTTCAAGCTGTTGATCTATAAATCGATCTGACTTGACTTCATCAATTTATGTTTATTCTGTTATTGTTAGTAGAACAAAATGCAGAACGTCAGTGATGTAATTAGGGATATGCAAGTACTCGAAAAATTCGGATACCCGAACCTCGGGTCGGTCGGGTCGAGTAATGATCGGGTTCGGGCGGGTCCCGAATGTTCGGGTATCTGAATTTCGGGATAAAATTCTTGATTCAATTAAAATCCGAAACTCTATTCGGGAATTCGGAACTCTATATTCGATTCGGGATAAAATTTTATTTTTTTAACTCACAATAATTTCATTAATATACTAACAATAAAAAACTGAAATTATAACACAATTTTGGTATAACATAAAAGTATATGACAGAATAGTTGTCGAAAAATTATCCCCACTCCTTCTATTTTTTCTGACCTCTGCGGTGACATCGATCTTCGTACAGCGTATTTGCCGGAGTTACCCTATTTTAAATTGAAGTGTTGAAAGCATAATTCCGAATAGCAACGATCGAAATTCGACATCATTGACTATACTATAAGATTGTAAATCCAGTGCTATTATTCGTGCTATCGTTTTGTTAGTTGTTTCGCTCGCGTTGAATTTTTAGTTAAATATTGTATATTTTAATTGCTACTGTGTGACGGTTGTTCTATCATCGAATTTGTAATTATTCTTTCATTATATTTCGAGGTTAAATGTCGTGAAAGGCAATTCGTATTACCATATTTTGTTTGAAATTCTCGATCACACAAATAGAACATTTTACTTTATGTTGATTTATTTTTATAAAATGTTGCCAAACGAAACTTTTATTTCGTTGTTTTCTAAAGATTTTTCTAAAGACACATTTTCACTGTTTGCATGCGTCGAATTATTATTATCTTCATTTTTTGAACGCATGTATTTGGTTAATATTAATGTATCCTAGTGCTTTTTTTACTATGCAAAGTCGTTTTCTTGATAAGCAATGTTTTCCGAGAACTTTTCGGATGTAGGAATAGTCCATTGAAGATACATCTGTTAATAGTCTTAGCGTTTACTTTCTCACAATCTTAAAATATAAATTATTATTCCTCCATCAATTTGTTTAACCGTTCTACAGAAATATTATACCTATCTTATTATATATCTCTTTTATTATATTCGCTCAAGCATCATCACAGAATGCGTTTGACTTTAATTAGATATGTAGTAGGTATTTGTTAGTTTTGTGAAACGAAAACAGATGATAGTGCGTGTAACTTCCAGTGGGTGTCCGACAGAGGTGGTATTGGCTGCAATTCATGAATTCACTTACCGTTGATCGTTCATGTGGATGAGCAAAAAGTGTATCGTATAGCTTGTGTCTCGCGTGCGTAGAGACGGGATTTACGACGTTTAAAAGGCTCAACGCCCGTACTCATGACGGATGTTGGATTTATTGAGCGCTCTGTTTTAAGGTAATAGAATATGTAGATACGGTCCATACGAAGAAGAATATGTGCGCGTAAAATAGTCTCTTTCGGATCATTGTAAAAGCAAGGACCGTCGACTTCGTGAAATCCTTTTCCAAAAAGTGAGTGTACATGTACGCGAACAAAAAAATATATATATGATGTTCTAATATTATAATTGTAATTACATTAAAATATGTATTTTGTGCGTAAAAAGTCGAAATGCCAGTGCTATTGTGATAATTGTACTATATCGAACTGCGAGAAAACTGATTTCTAGAAGTATCGGAACAAGAGACAGGATTAAAGTAAGATATATAGTTATATTATATGTATAATTACATATATATATATTTTATTTTTTACATATGTTCTTAATAGTTGAAGCGAGAGATAGTAATGTTATGGTTATTAATCCATTCTCGACAGACAGAATATTTCCAAAAGATATGAATAATTTTCGTTGTAAAAGCGTAATGAAGTAAATGATAATGACAGACTAATAAGTTTTATTTGTAGCTTACAAACAATTGAGTATTACTTTTAGAATTAGTTTATCGACTTATTTTTTTTAATATTGATAAATTAAATAATAACATATGATTGAATCTAATTATAGAACTAAGTTATGCGTTATTTTATTATTTATAATATTATATTATTATATATGTAATTATATAATATATGTGTAAATTATAATAATTCATAGGACCACAACAAAATTTTTGAATTTTTGATGACAAATACGAATCAGAGTGAAAAAGTATTTCCTATAGATTTTCGATCTCTTAATTCGAATTTGTAACTCAATGAGCAGAATGTCTAAAATCGGCGTGTAAAACATTATTTAAGACATCTTTAAAAGAGTTCTTTAAGAGAAACATCTTTAAAATATTTCATAAAGACCTCTGAAAGATATTTTAAAATTGTCGTACACGCCGTACATTTGTTACATTATAGTCAATTTTTTAACTAATTGAGAGACGTGATGGAATATCTGTAAAACATGTTTGAAGAAAGAATAAAAGTGAATATGTGATTAAAATATAGTCGCAGAATTGATTTATGGATATTTTGATAAGTTAAAGTTAAACAAAGTAGAAGAAACAAAAAAAAGTTTGCTTTACTAATATTAAGTATTATAACCTAACGCATCAAAAAACAAGTTTGTGCAAAGTATACTGTTACGCAACAAAAGTTAAGCGACTTGCATCGTCATGAAAGGTTTTATGTTAATTGTTATTTTATCTTCCAAACTATTGAAACATCCATTTGTGAAGTTAAAAAGACCTTCCAATAATACTCACGCTATTGTCTGATTGTTGCAAAATGGAATTTTACTAATTTTTTTTTAGCGTATTATAGTGTGTTTATCTTGGAACTACAAGTTCCATTACTGGCTACAGTCAATAAGAGTCTAGAAATTCAAATTTTTCTTTTTCGGCGCTTTTATTGCTGGTTTACGAAGTCTTCCTCTACACATTGTTTCAATATAAATATTTATATAATTATATGGAATGCATTTTTTTCCGTTACTTCACTAGTTCTTATTGTTCTTATTGTTTATGACCGTTCCAATATAAATGCAACCTTAGTAATATCCATAACATTAGTAAAGCAAATTTTTTTTATTTCTCACACTAATTTGTTTAATTTATCAAAATATATTTAAATCAGATCTGCGACTATATTTTAATATTATATTTATTTTTGCTATTTTCTCAAATATTTCAATTTTCACTGATTTCTTATTATTTTTCTATTTTCTCTATTATCTAAAAAAATTGGTAAAAAAATTGGATGAAGCAAAATGTCTTACAAATTAAGATTCAGCGATCTAAATTTCATTTAAAAAAAAATCTATTTTGATTTATGTTTCTCTCAAAAAATTTTTTTGTAGTCCTGAACAATTATATTATATATGTATGTAATTATATATATAATAATTTTTTTATTATATAATTGTCTTCTTTATTGATAACGTGCAATATGTTTGTGCGAATACAAAACCGCTCTTGCTTTATAATTTGAGTATGATTTGTATCTCCTCTGTATGTGTGATATTTAATTATTCGTATTTAAAATCCATTATGAAATCTCATGACTCAAATATTACGCGAAAGTTCTCCGTTCGCTAATTAAAAGGATATAAAGAAAAAATCGATAGAATTAATAATTTATTTCTTGTTGCCTCATTTCTTCTACGGCTTGTTCTTCTAAAGTCTTTTCAATATCCTCAAGACTATCTTAAACCGTTGCGCATTCACTGGATCGTATTTGGTTCATAGAAATTTTTTCGAGTCCCCTTATATACGGATAATGATCAGAATATTAAGGCATGTTTTTATTAATTTATTAACATTTTCTTATATAGTTCTTCGTAAACCTCATTTTTGCGAAAATAATACCTATCGTGCATAAATCGCGAAAATGGCTAAATTTTACTGAAAACTTTCGCGAAATATACACAATATCAGTATATATAATAAATATCGTAAAACCGATTATACGCACTGATAGTTACATACTTACTTTACGCAATTTCACCACTAGGCATAGTGACGCAATTAATGAGATAAACTGTACAATTGGAGCAGCAATCTGGCACAATTGGAAAATTACTTTATCCTGTTTGGCGTTTCGATTTTTTCGGCCTCCTTCTTTCGAGTGTGATGGTTTTTCGGTTTCTAGTATAGTTAAAAAATCAATACCTGTGTGTCACATAAGTTAATCACATGGTTAGCACGTACGGCCATCGTATGTGCAAATAATCACCTATACTATTACGATTTGGACTTATTAACATTTTCAAAAATAGCATCTTTACAAGCACAGTAGCTCTGTAAATTATTGGAATTTTTTGTTTATTCCTTATCGTTATTGTGCGCGATGTTCTCAAGAAACTTGAAATATAATACAACTGCAGATTAAACATTCGGTCGGTGGCGATTTTCGATAAATAATACATAATAATACACAAATTTAAAATATGATTACAGCTTATACAATACACAACAATATGCAGCTGTGCTGCTCAAAAAAGAACGAGGTTGATCCGCTGCGGTCGGAAAATGGTATGAATGATCGGTACTCACACATAAACGTAATCGTAAATTAAAAAATCCAAAAGAGTCAGAAAAATAATCTTTTTTGTTATAATTTTTTAATCGAGAAACACAAATCATATAACTGAGTCTTTTTTTGTAGGCTCTACGAACAATCCATCATCGGAGAACGCTATAGATAAATTTGGATTTTATCAAATTGTGATATTTGCATTTATTGGTATAACATTGATGCTAACGGCAGGATTCGCGCTTTCTTACGTATTTACTGCGGGCGAGGTTAAATACAGGTATACACACATTAACATTTTTGTTAAAGTAATCGGATCCTATACATGACTTTTCAAAAGAACAAACATTTCTAAACATTAAGAAATATGAGAGATTCTCAAATATTTACATGTTTAAACATTTTTTTATAAAAAAAATAGAAAATAAAAAAATTCCATGTAAACTTTTACGCCGAGACACTACCGCGTCTCCTGATAAGTGTATTAACACATTGATATGTTTATATAAAAAAACACGAAAAGCTATTTTTCGAGCAACCAACTTATTTACTTTTTTCTATCTTTAATGGGTGAATTAGAAATCATAATTTAAAATAATAAAAGTAACAAAAAAATCGATGTATGTATATTCGATATATCTATTGATCCTATTTTACGAAAAGTTTTCTTTTTTGATGGTATAATAAGTAACAAGAGTTTTCTCTTTTTTTGCATAATTTAAATCTACATATTTATGAAACACGATTAAACAAACTACGATAGAAAATTGTAAAAGAAAGCAATTATTTATCATTTGAAGATGTTTCGTGTCGGAATGCGAGCATTCAGGAAATACGACATTCGAACCACCGTGGCTGAATTTTTCTGCGCCGAAAATCAACGGTGTCATTTCCCGTTGTACACGTTACGTGATACAAAATGATCATTCGGACACATGTACAAAAGCATTGTTCACCAACGTTACTCGTTACTGTGATTCTTGGATTTACGATTCGGATGAACATACAATACTTAACGAGGTATTGTGACCCATGGTAATCAGTGTGAATTTTGCATATCAAGATTTAACAGTAGATTAATTTTCTTTTTCCATTTCCTTTGTTTATTTCGATGTAGTGGGATTTTGCATGCGATGCTAATCGATGGAAACTCACGTTGGTGGGCACGATACAACATACCGGTCAATTTGTCGGTTTGATGTTCGCTGGATACATATCTGATAGGTGAGAGATAGCGTAATATCTTCGAGACTATAATTAATTAATTTTGTATATATATATATATATATTAAAGATACGATTAGTTTTATGTAATGCGAAATAGTATCAGATAATCTCTGTATAATGTTCTTACAGATAGTCATAGATTCTTGATAAAAAAGAATATAGTGTACTTATGACGCGATATTAAAAAATTTCGCATTATCGCAGAAATACGGTTTGCCAGTACAACGAGAAAAATGTACATCCGCGTTTATTTTTTCATTTTCAGGTTTGGGAGACGAACAATTTTGACGGTGGCAACGACTCTAACTGGATTAAGTGGCTTGATACAGTCCTTCTCCGTAAATTATTGGATGTTTCTCACATTCGAATTCATCAATGCCAGTTTAGCGGCGGGAATCTACAGCGCAGGATTTATTTTAGGTATAGAACAAAAAATATCCTCGGAGACAGTAAAAAAATTTATACACACCAGGAAACGTTATGTCGTTTCTGTCTTGTGACGTTTGCGGACAGCGCGTCGTCACGTTGTTGGAGCGAATTCTTGATGCAATGTTCTTTACTCTCATTTAAAAATACTTAAAATATGACATTTTTGTGTTATTTATTTTAAATTTATCACGTGTGTACTTTTACTTATTAAAATTGTAATGACATGCATTTAAATTTCTATAAAACAGTAATTAATTCTTTATCATATATGTATAATTTATGCACTTATTTGTTTTAGGGATGGAGACCATGGGAGTGAAACATAGAGTCCTTGGAGGTGTTATAGTATCCAGCATGTTCTCCGTGGGTGAAATTTTACTAGGATTGATCGCAAGTTTGTTAAGATCTTGGCGAATGCTTCTTAGGACAGTGTACGGACCGGCACTGCTAGCCGTTTTCCTACCTCTGGTCATTCCAGAATCAGTTAGGTAATCTTTCGTAATGAACATTTCCGTATCGGTGAGATGTCATTTTCATTCCTTTATACACAATACATAATATAATTTTCAAGATGGTTAATGTCAAAGAAAAAATACGAAGAAATGGATAAAATATACTATAAAATGGCCCGAATGAATGGCCTGAAAGTAACAGACGAGGCCATCAATACTTTCAAGGAGCAAAATATAACTAAGGCTGAAACGGTACGTCATTTACAAATGTTTCGTCTTTCGCAAATGTACATTTAATTATGGTACTGAAAATATCTTATTCGCAAATTTGTGCCTACTGTAAGATTACTAATTTATCTAAAATACAACTACCATATTCGTAACTTTAAGTACATGCAGTCAGCAACTTTTGTATTACTATATAAACGCTAATATAAAGCAGTAAGTCGCACATGAGCTTTGTAATTATGAGATTAATGCGATCTTTCAGAAAAGCGAACTGGTGGTATTGGACGAGAGGAAACCGATCGTGCAAGTTCTACATAGCTCAGTGATACTTACTCGACTGCTGGTCTGCTCGTTCTGTTGGATTACAAATACGTTCGTTTTTTATGGATTGTCGTTAAATTCAGTGACGGTAGCCGGGGAAAAGTACAGCAATTTCATACTCGTTGCGGTAGTCGAGATACCAGCGTTTTGCCTCGGCTGCGTGCTGAACAATCGCATTGGCCGTAAATCAACGCTTTCTGGTGCATTCATGCTGAGTGGAGTATTCTGTTTCGCAAGCCAGTTCGTACCGGCAGGTAAAGAGATAAAGAAAAGAGGTTTCTCAGACAGAGCTGGTTGAAGTTTGGTACGTTCCTGGAGTGACTTTTTAGAAATGATTTGGCCTATTTCTCCTTTCGCGTACAGAATTATTCGTAAAATGCCAGTTAATAGACGAAAAATATCTTGATCGAATATGCATCGACACCCTTATGTTTGAAAAACTATCCTTCCATCGTTTAAAATTCTTCGAAATCGATTTGACCCTTCAAAATTGATATCTATTTATATAGATAAAAGGAGAAATGGATCGGCTTACGTAGATACATTAGTCACAACCGTGTTGTTCACATAATTATGTTAAGTATAATTGGTCACCATAGCGCGCGATTCTGATGATTTATGGCTATTCTGTTTCAGAAACCTGGAGTCACGGGCCTTTAGTTTTATATATGGCCGGGAAATTGTGCATTGCCATGGCGTTCGCTACCACCTACATCTTCACGGCAGAACTTTTCCCGACGACACTCAGAAATTCCCTGCTCGGATTTTGCAGCATGATCGGTCGTATTGGGTCAATCTTAGCGCCGCAGACACCTCTTTTGGTGAGTCAATATAAACAAATGCGCGTTGCAATAAAAATCATAGACTTAAAAAAATAGACTTATAAAAATCATAGACTAAAATCATAGACTCCTATGTCTATGATAAAAATATACTTTCTTAATATGTGTGCTTCCCGAATTACGCTTCGATAATGCTATATCGCGTGGTCAAGAATATTTTTCAGATTTGCGAATCTATCGAAATTCTTCTCTAATTTCAGGATCTTCAAAACACTTTTATTTTTATAGATAATATTTGAAAATATTTATATCCCCGTTTTTATATAATTTTATAAACTTGACCAATGTGCGTATCAGTCCCTTTTAAAAGTAACAACTCAAAAAATGTGATTTCGAGTTATTATCACGAATAAATTAGGCAAAGATTACCTCTATATCGATTATCAAAAGTAAACTAACTAAACTTTACAGTCCGTTCGCCAAATAGCATTTGTGTCATTCCTTATTTTTAAAGAGATCATAAACTGTTACAAGAGTAACACATTTTCAGTTAAGATAGTTTTAACGATCAAAATTTAAAGAGAAAATTGTTTTATTTTAAATTTAGTCGTTTTTTTAGTTTACGGTAAGTACAAACTGGTGATATTTCAAGTTATGTCACTTTTGCAAAATTATTCCGGATTTACTACAATTTTGTATCAAAATCATGACTAAAAACCGTAGCTTTTTTTAGAATTATGAAACAAAAATGTTATGATCATGTTTCTAAATTGTATACATATAAGAGTATATTCTTCTTGTCGATATTACTCATATTTGATCAGTCAATAATTTTCTATTATAAAAAAAATACTTTTTCCCTTTTCTAAAATGTTTAATTTTTATAGTTGTGTGTTACTTTGGAAATAAGGGAACGCGATATGATTTTTATAAATGACGTTAATAATACTTAATATTTTATTTCCAGAGCACGCAAAGAATATTTACAATAGCATATGTTCGCAATCTTTCTTACATGAAGTTCTCAATCATTATTGAGAAATTCACATAGTATAAACTATATTGTTTAAAACAATTCATTAATAATGTTTTCTTATTTACATTCAGATGCAAATAATGCCTTCGTTGCCATTTATTCTATTCGGGACCATGGGTATGCTGGCGGGCATCTTGTCTCTGATTTTCCCGGAAACTTTAGGAACAAAACTTCCGGACACCGTATGGGAAGCAGAAAAAATTGGCAAACCAAAAGAAACTCGAAAAAATTCGAATTTTAACATGTCGTGTCAGAAGAGCAACGCGGAACACTGAGAACGCTTTGATTTATGCAAATGTCTAACATTTCGTGTATCTCTTTCAGCATATGTCTTTTCTTCTGTATTTTATACAGATGCTAATTACCTCTCCATAAGATGTTAGCATGTGGATGAATTCATCTTAAACTTTCAGATTCGTGTAACGTTTAATAATAATATTATTATTATAAATATTAATTCCGTTTACGAGATATATACTCATTAGATTTCGATAGTGATTATGAAACTAATATGTTCGTAAAGTTAATTTACCTAAAGAAATCTCAAAGTGATAACATTTATATCAATTTAATCATACATAAAACAGAAATGAAAATACATTTTATCATTTTTTATAACAGTAATGTATTTCATAGATAAATATTTACATAAAGGCATATTTATATTGTTTTATGACGGAAGATAAATGGCGGAATGCCTGGCTATGCCTCAGCTAGCAAGCTTACGTGATAATGACGTGATTATGAAGTGATTTTGATGACAATGCCGTCAAGTGACATAAATGGAACGTTATTTTGACGTCATTTGTAATACCAAAAGTGACGTCACCGATATGACGTCAACTAGATGTTACATTGACGTCATATATTTGACCATTACTAATTAATTATTTTTTGTTATTATTTGTGTATTATTATTTGATGTATCATTTTATCCTTTAATATTCGATGAAAAACAAGGATAAAATGATATGTCATGCGCATTACACTTGCGGAAATGATACATATACTAATACATACACTATCATATAAACACATAAACCATCTGTTTTCAATATTTCCATTGAACAGATATATCACAATTATACAGACATTGACATACAGATTCGTGGGTCATCGAAGTACAGCAGTTCCCGTACGATTGTCAAGGTTAAGCATGCAAGATCCGTGGTGTACAACTTCGGATGGGTGACCGTTTGGGATGTATCATAAAAAAAATTAATTCTCGAATTTAGAGAAAAATTTTTTTTTTCAGTAATTAGGGAAAACTGACCGGTATTCTACTTAAATTTCTACACGAAGTATATACGAATTTACTACTGCATTATTGCACTAGTAGTGACACTAATAGTACTTTTTAGTCATATTTACGTCTTCCTGACGTAATAAATAACGTCAATAAGATGTGACATAATCACGTGATATATACGTCAGAATAACGTTACTTTTATGTCATAATTGACGTTATTTGTACCAAAAATTCACGTCATTATCACGTGATCTTGCTAGCTGGGCGAATGCCTGTCTTCTTCGCTCTCTTTTTCTCTCACTCTCTCACTCTACATAACATTTGTATGACGTAAGTCATATATCAGTTGATTTGTTGTGATAACTATTATAAATTATTTTAACAAGATGTATATTTTAATAATTTTTAGCTTTACTGCAGTTTTTTTATACGCATGTATTATACACACGGAAACAACGTCTATGACGTAGCGTACCTGACAATAATGTATTACAATTCGGAGCAGAAAAATTCCTTTACACATATAAATAAAACTTGTTTCTTTTGTAGTAATAAAATGAGTAAACATTTATTTTCGAGATGTTAAATATACCATTGTATCAAAGTTTAAATAAGAATTTGTCAGATTTTAAAAACGTAATTGATATATCGTTTGACTTTTAACGAAAAATAATGTATTGTATCTTATTGTATAAAACTTATATATAAAAAGTTAATATAGAAAAAAATGAATATTTTACTAAATAATATAATATTATTTTCGCATAAACAATGGCTGCGTTCAGCAGACTCAACAGTTTTGCAACCGTTTTATGATTCGTCCCACTGATTGGATTATAATTTTAGATCTAAAGGAATAGTCCTATCTCAGCAAAGAATCATAAAACAGTTGTAAAACTGTTTTATGATTCTTTGCTAACTGTTTTATGATTCTTTGCTGAGATAGGACTATTCCTTTAGATCTAAAATTATAATCCAATCAGCGGGACGAATCATAAAACGGTTGCAAAACTGTTGAGTCTGCTGAACGCAGCCAATATTAAAGATAGAAATATGTATATAGATTATTTTTTACATATATGTATCTCAATGAATAGTAATTTCATGTTGTTTAAAGTAAAAGATTATATAGCACCTTTTTTTCATGTCAAAATAAAAAGTAAAGAGACATACATATACGACCGATTGAAACCATCTGAGTAAAGTAAACAACATAAAGCTTTTATTGTTATGTAAATAGTCGAAACGAAACTATAATTTTCTAATTTTTTTTGTTTTTTTTTTTTATGTAAAATGTGATTCGGGCTGTATGGTATAATATCGGTAATATATACGAGAAATTAGTATAAAAATCATTGTGTTCAATAAAATGGATGACGCATACACTCAGACGGTTTTAACCAGCGCGTATATGTATATCAATAACAATAACAAATATATTTGAATATCGCTACTATCACTTGTTCAGAATTTTTTTCTGAAGCGAATGTCGATTCACTTCCGATCGAATTAGCTTAATGTCATCAGCGAAGATCTTGCAGCAACCGCCGATGTAACGAACTCCTAGGTCCAACCATTCCGATATGGGCAGATTCAGAGATTGATCCTCTTCGACCGCGATCCATTCGCCGCTTGCGGAATAGCTGCCACCTCTATTGGGATACACTATCAGAGGAATGAAATCCTTTTCCGATGACGTGTTCTCATTGAGACCCTTCAGTAAGGGAGTCACGTACTTCGGATCGATACAATTTACACCAACCGCGACGATCTGCGATGGCAAGGTGCGGTAACAGCACACAGCTGTATTTTGGAATCCGCTACCATCCGACATGAAATGACCATCTCGGCATGAAAACGAGAGCCAGACACGGGCACCTGGGTATTCCTTCAACAATTCTAAAATGGCTTCCGCTTCCTCGATGCAGGGTATAGTTTCGAAAGCTAGAAGATCAGCACCAGCATCTAATAGCGCTTTAACGCGCGGCCTGTGCCAATCTATCAGTTCTTGTCGGGTTATACTCTTTCCATAGAAGCCCGTGTATTCAGACCCATTGTGTAGATAAGCGCCGTAAGGACCGCAAGATCCAGCGATCATAGGCTTTGACTCATAGGGAATGCACGCTTCGCGGATGTAGTCATTCACAGCTTTTCTAGCTACGTTTACGGATACGTTGAGCAACTCCAAACTTTCTTGTTCACTCACTTTTAGATATTTCATCAAGCCGGGTACGGACGCTTGGTAGGTGTTGGTCTCGATAATGTCGGCACCAGCGCGTAGAAAATCCATATGCGTGTCATATACGGCATCGACATTGGTTTTCAGAAACCGTGCTGTCCAGAGTGGATCATTATTGACGTTTGCACTCATATGCCGTGACAATTGTCCACAGAAGCCACCGTCCAAGACCTTGAAGACATTTTTTGAGACACTTCGACATTCCATCGTTACGATCGTCAATGTGAATTGTCAGAGTGATTGTTCGATCCAAGTACAACGTACGTCAACGTGTCTTATTATCGCGTGCTAAAATTATTCAAATTTGATTTGCACGATTTTATAAAAAGACAATTCTACTTTTGTGGAGGATTTATTCCGCTTTGAAATTCTCTTATTAATTTTTACTGATCGAAACGTGGCTCACTGTCGGACCCAAATCTCCACTGGTATGTCTTAGCTCGTATTAGTTCTGATTAGAACCTTAATTAGAACGAATTGTTTATATATACTGTACAAAAAAGTACGAAGAATATTTAGGTTATTTCAAATTGATTCACAAACGTTAATTCTTTTGATTTTCTGGTGCGATCATCTTAAGTTACAACATGGAAAACAATACGTGTTTTACTATAAAATTTTCAAAACAAAAATATTTGCACAACTTCCACGAGAAGAACTGAAATTAGCAATAAAAAACGTGATCACATTAATAATATAACCTATACGAGCACCTCACGTCGTCGACATCTTTGATCTCTGAATGAAACTTCATATGACTGGAAAATACTATAAATATTATACCTTAGGAGTAAAAATTATTGGTAAATTAATTTCATATTTTACAATAGCAATTAGGAAATTTGTATGATACTATATAATCTACAAAGTTTGTTTAATAAAAAAAACTTATAAGCTACAGTAAAGTTGACATTAAATTATATGTTGTATAATATAATTATTAGTAAAACGCGTACTTTCTTTTGTTAATTAAAGATTAGCAATAGCCAATAGGAATCAAATAATATGTATATAAAAAATATACTTTTCTATCATACTGAATATATACAGATATTTTTCTTGTCGAGTATATAATATTAAATGCAAATTTTTTATTTTTTGAATTTGTTAAATATTAAGATTTGGTAATTTTATTAAAATATTTCCAAAAAAAAGAAAAAATCTAATACATATATTTATCTTACAGAATTAATATATTAATTATAGTTATTAAAAGATTATATGAATTTTTATGTTTTATTAAGACAAAATTTTTGCAAGATAAACTTTACAATATTCCAAGATGGTTTTCTACGATGGCATGTGGTTGTCCCATTTGTTCCCTGAATTCAGATGTATTGAAGATATCATCAAATCTATAAATAATAATATATAAAAGAATAAAAATTGTCGAATACAGATTGATTTGTCAATGCAGTAATATATCTGTCATAAATACCCTATACTCTGATCTTTTCCAAGTAAAACATCTCGCATCACATTAGATGACGATAAAAATGGAAGTCTTCCAATGTTCTCAGTAGCTTTTAATTCCATTGCTATGCGTAATGGTGCATGTAATCCTTGTGTATTTCTAAGTAATGCCATGTTCATGCGATCTTGATTTTTTTGATACTGAAATAAATGTAATTCACAATTTATTGTTTTAAAATTATCTACATTTTAACTATCTATGTGTGTGTGTGTGTGTGTGTGTGTGTGTGTGTGTGTGTGTATGAGAGAGAGAGAGAGAACACTAAAAATCTTACATTTCTTTCTGATGCTTCCAAAGGATGTGTGCAACCAACACTCTGTCGGATTGATGACAGACTAAATAAACAAGAGTAATGTTAAAAATTATGTTAAAAAACTACTTTTAAAGATTTATATAATATAAATATTCTGTAGGTACATTCATTATTTGCAGTAAATAATATAATCTGTATTTCAATAGTATAACAGCAAATTCTCTCGAATTAAATTAATTATTTTAAAGATACGTTGATTAATTCCTACAACTTAAGTTTTACTTAAATTTTCATACCCTGACACCATAGGATTGGGTAAGTCATAGTTAGTTCCACTTTTAATGTTGAATTGTTCAGGTACAACAGGCTTGGGTATAATTGATGGCAAACCAAAGCTCTGAAATTATAACAGTTATAATGGAGATAAAACTTTGTGTTTCAAGTTCAATCTTCTCTATTGTTTTACATAAAATAATAGTAAATACAAATTAGTTTGAAAACTGCACACACATTAACTATTTTTACAAAACGGAGCACAAGAACGATTTGGTATTTTTTATCGTTATTGTATAATTATTAATTGACATTAACAATCTATGACACAAGAAAATCTATAAAATAAACAGTAAAATCGACTATCACTATTAACATAACCTGTATATATTTAATATATTGTACTGTTACTATTGTTGAGTATTGTCTTAAAACCAATACATAAATTGTATGTAATGTATCGTCTGAAAAATATTGTTAGTTACCATTTTATTGCCTTACTATCACCACAGCAATCACACCAAGAAAATGTCAAAATGATTTAACAACAACGATTGATAATCCACTATAAGGAGCGAATTAACAAAATCTTGTCATGTCACGGGTCACGGCGTTCGTAAACCCACAAAATTTCGGCAGAACTCACACCTAGGGATTTTCTAGTAACGGATAAAACAATTCGTGTGGAAGTTGCGGATTGGTCGCCGCCATTTGAGGGACACTTCCGTGTTTCAAACGAAAACTGCTCGCCGAGTTGCTGTGTAGGTAATTAGAATACCCTTTCACTAAAATCTTAATAAAAATGTACTCATTCATGCATATTCATTCAAAACAAAAGAATCTTTCAGAAAAACAGGGTAGCTGATCTCGTAAATCGAGTTATTAGCATTATTAAATGTTAAAGTTCGAGACTTTAAAGGTTAAGATATCTAGCTCATCTTGCCACAGTGCTACACACTATTATATTTAGGCTACGCTACGGTCCACTTGATGCTACAAAAAAATGCTTCGAAACATTAAGGACTACGCAGAATAAAGGAACAGAGAACAGAAAATAAGAATTTCAACCTATCAGAAATCATATACTGTAGAATAAACAGTGTGTATTCCATAGTACATGATTTCTGATAGGTTGAAATTCTTATTCTCTGTTCTTTGTTCCCTGTTCCTTTTATTCTGCGCAACCTTATAGCGCCAAATGGACCGTACCTTAGTGTTATAACTGTACGTACAAGTTATATGTCCATAGATTTCTTCGATACGTGCGATCGACCAAACAATTTACTCACCTAACGTCAGCTTGCGATAGTTGTTAATACTTGGCATATACTTACACAAATAAGGAATTTAATTAAAAATTTATGAATGATAATTTTTGTATTTTTCTATTGCAATGTCCGTATACATGAAAAGAAAAAGTTCTTTGCGTCAATCGCTCGCATATAAATTATTACCGAGGAAGATTCTGATTAGGGTAAGAAAAATAGTTATTGCGATAACGTTTCGGAAAGTAATTTTAAATTGCGTTCCGTTGCACGTATAGTGATATCATTTTATCTTTTTGTTTATCTCTGCGTACAACAACTAAAATAATACTTCATGTGCATTTTAATTATGCGTGCAACGGAGAAGCTGTCTTATATATATATTTTTTTTTCAAATAAACGCACAATGTAAAACAATACGAATTTAAATTTCTTTTTTACCAAAAAAGATGTGAAAAACCTATTTACAATCTAATATATGCAGAAGAGCTTTTAATTATATGGAGGATGAGATCCATATAATTGCTCATCTATATCAATAAATTCATACTTGTGTTTATAAATATTTTAAATACAAATTTGCTTATTTTTTTTTAAAATGATATTGAGTTCATAATTTTATTGATAGTTATTGACTTTATATATACATATATATATATATAATTAATTGATTGTTATACAAATATAATAAATATATATTTTTGCTTAGAAATTTAAAATTATTTATAATTACATATCATAATTCAATTAAAGACAGAGATAATGAAAAGCAAAATGAAGACATAATTATTTTTATTTAGCCTGATAGATTAAAAGGTCGTTATTTATTTCGATCAGCCGTGCGGCGCGTCTTGGAATATATGGAATGGATAACAGGGGAACAGATAATTGAGGAAATTAGCGATGATGTAACGATTAATATCAGAATGGCTCAACAGAGACACAAAGCAGAGAAAAAATTACTTACATTAAAGGTATTCAATGAAACATATGTGTAGTACGCTAAAAATAGATAAATAGAAATAAAAAATCAAAATTTAACGTGTAAAAGATGTATCGCTGATTTAAGGATCGATCGATACTATTAGTGAGACCACTTGAAAGATCTTCCGCTAATAAAGCGTACATATACGATCTTATCACGAAGTTCCGCGCATACACGAAGCATTCTGAGAATTTGAGAAAAAATCTGGCAGCGGTGTGCAATTATCAATATTTACCGTCTGGTCGGGTAATTGTTCGTCAGGGTCGTAAAGCGGAAAATCTTTATTTTATTATGAACGGCGAGGTTTATCTGTCAAAAGTAGTGATTGATGATTTAACAGGTAAGGAAAAATAGTACCGCAAATTTTCACAAAATCTTAGACAGGAAAAGATCACATTGAAAATCTCTAATAAATAAATATAATATCTCTAATAAATTGGAAAGAATCTGATCGAATAATATGTGAAAGTGGATAGAACGTGATTCCTTTTAGAATAAAAAAAGAATAAAAAAAGTACGCAGCGAATTTTCAAATTCAATTTCCTCAAAATCTGAGCAGAAAATCGAAAAATTTTACTTTATATGTTTTTTTGTATTTTTTATAAGGAATCACGTCCTACCAGCTTTACATGTTATTTGATCGGACCCTGTATTAGCATTTTCCATTTAGCTCGTAATATTTTTATATCGATCTTTTCTTATTGTTAATTTAACATTACATCATTTTTTTGACAAACATTACTTTGTAAAATAATTTTATTTTTATTTATTTATTTATTAAAAGATAATAAAATTTATATATTTTATAAGTAGGACTTCTAAAGAAAAAATTATGTATAGCTTAATGTGAAAAATTAGATGTAATGTTTTCTATTAGGTGATGAAAAAGTTATAGATATGGGGATCATGCATTCAGGAGATATGTTTGGTGAAGTTGCATTATTGCATACGATACCGAGAACATCAACGATAATTACTAAAAGTTAGTAGAAACGAATTATGGAAATAATAACGTACTAATAGAGTAAATTTTATCATGGTTTTTACGATCTCTTATTTATGGTAAATATTATTTAGCGTCAGTCGATTTGCTGCTAATTAATCGAGACGATTTTAACAACATTTTGCGCAGTAGTTTGACAAAAAAGTGGGATGATCTGCGTGATGCATTGGTTCATTTTAATTATTTCAAGTTGTGGGATGAAGCGACGGTACGAGAATGTTGTATTTTGAGCAAATTAAAAGACTTTAAACCTAATGAGGTAAATAATTTAGCAATGCAATAATTATTTTATAATAAAGGAGAAGGTGATTTATATTACATGAAGTAATTTATATTACTTGAGGTTCGCCTCTCGATTAATGGTCCTTAATATTTTCACTATTAGAAAAAAAAAATTATTTTATCATTCGTTTAGCAGCTCGTATGCAATCATAGTATTTTGACCTCTATAACGTGTATGTCAAGGTGAAAATTATTGGAGGAGTTCTTGTAATGTAAAAATTTCGTTTTTTTAAACAAAACCTATTTTTTAAATCTATTTTTATAGAGGGATTACATTACTATCCTTTTTGATCTTATGTGATACCATCGTATATTTATATAAATATCTTAAGTAATAAATAGTTTTATAACTTTGGAGTCTAAGATTGATTGAACAACTCTTGACAAATGTAATCGTTAAGTTTTAAATTTAAATATCGATTATTTATAGTTATTCTATAAAATATAAATGAGGAGATATAATATCACCTTCTCCTAAAAAAAAACATATTTGATAATTTATTATTCTCTAAAGTATCTCAAGAAATAAATATATATCTGAACACAAAAAAGATACACAAAAATATTAACAAATTAATTTGAAAGATTTTGTTAGGTGATGGAAAAGGCATGGTGAATTATGTACATTTTATTCTAAGTGGTAAATGTCGCCTTATTGAGCACATGCTCGTTCGTGAGCGTCCTTCTTATCAGGGAATGCAATACGAGTTATACGATTCCGAAACTTTCGGTCCACAACTACGAAGAATGTCGAAAAAGATTGTGGAATCTGACGAGTTTGAACCAAATCAATTTGATAAATCAATTCCAGTACGAATTAACAAGAAATAACTTTATTCTCTTATATACTATTTCTTTATAGTTTTAATAAAACACTACGCTCTTTTTTATGCACTTTTTTCTTTGCACTTTCTTTGTACTTTTGTTGATGCACTATTCGTGTATGTACGTATATCATGTTTAATTTTAAAAATATAAACAGTTTTCAATAACTACATATTGATATAATTTTAATATGGCAAATATAATTTACATTATCGTATAAACAGATTACACAAAAGATTATATTTGTTATAAGAGCCACTTGTATGCTGATTAAACTGCTAATCAATAGTGTATATATAATAGATAATTCAAGCTATTCTTTTAATCATTATTGCAAAAATATTTTATTACTTCTTTATACTGTCTAATTATACTGAAAATATTGATATAAACATAGAATATGTATGTTTACCGATCGCATTTTTCTTCGCAGAAATCTGTTGGAACACAAGACGAGGTTGATGGATTAAGCATTGTTACCACCACACTTTTAGACGTTGTGAGTATCTATAATACGTTATTTTCCTTCTTTGTACTAATTCTATTCTCAAGCAGTAAAACTATATTAATCGAAGTATTAAAATAAAGAAATTTATTTGTATTTTAAATAGCTATCCGAGTAAATTATTGAAATTTGTTTATCACAGTTAAACTTATTGAAGCGGAATATGTATTTGGATAAAGATTTTATTTGTCAGTAACATATAGGATCATAAATTGATGTCATTATGTAGAATCATAAATTGATTGATTTGCGTGTGTTAATAAATATTACAATATCAAGGTTAAAGGATGGCATGAAATTACTGATGTTGCAACGATATTAATGCGAGAATCGTCTGTTACATCTCAATTATGTTATCCGAGCGATGTTCGCACCATATTCATGCAAATATGCACTTTTTCACGGGGTGCGTGTTTCGGTTTAGGTGAGAAACACGTGTTTTAGACAAATTATTATTTTTTTTATCTAATACGTCGTAATAAATCAATATTTAATTAATTAGGAGAGAAAATGCTTCATCGAAGAGTCGTAGCAATTACGCCAGTACGATGTTTCCTTATACCGCGATATTGGTTGCTCGAACACAACCGTGCTAATATTTGGGGACGTGTGAAACTATTTATGGACTCAAAATATCCAACTAAGAAACAGCTATTTAATGAATTTCTTCTAAATCGAAAGTATGATAAATTGTTACATATAAACATAATTACAGTAATATTCTCAGATTTCTTCCAATTATCAATTATCTATAATTATTGATTTGATGATTTATAGGAATTATCTTGCATTCTATTTCCTCTGATTTTTATTTTAGATGGATGGCATACAAACAGAATTTAATTAAAGATGTTATTAATCGACGTGGTCATTTTCGTAGTAATACAACGATACACGACGTGCCGTATTCCATCAGAATTACTGATGAAATAGATCCAAATTTATAATTATTCTTCTCATACTGTTTTCTTCTCTCTATATCAAATAAATATAATTATATGGATATATAATATTTATTCAGAGATTTGTAGAAATAAAATTTATGAATGCGCGCGCATTATTCATGCAAACAATTTACATGTATAATATTTTGCGTTTGTGCAGGCAATTAATATAAATTGATTTTTATAAAAATCGTGTGAAGTCATTTTCTCAATGGCCATTAAATTTACATTATATATATGTCTATGTCTGACGTTGGTCCACTCTAGATCTTATTCGTTTGATGTCCTTAGCGTATGTTCTACAACATCCTCCGATATAACGAACACCAAGATCCAGCCATTCGTCGATGAACTCGTACAAAGGGCGAGTTTCTCCATCTTTCTGCCATCCTTCAGATACTGTATATTTTTCTCCGCTGTTAGGATATACCACCAATGGTATGAGATCGTTTAACTTGTTTTTGTTGATACCTTGCAGGAGAGTAGTGACACATTGTGGAGCAATACAATTAACACCGATAGCTAATATTTGTCCAGGTAGCGCATTTTTGTAACATCTTACGGCAAGCTCTTGGAAATTGTTACCGTCTGCTAAGCTTTTTCCGTCATCTCTACAGGAGAATGACAACCATGCCTGCGTATTTGGAAATTCTTTGAGTAGATCGATTATAGCCTCCGCCTCGCGGACACAAGGTATCGTTTCTATTGCCAATAGATCAACACCTTTCTCCAACAATGCGCGTATGCGAGGTCTATGCCAGTTGATCAAAAATTCTCGCGATACGTTGATACAATACGAACCGGTATACTCTGAACCATCGTGCAAGCAAGCGCCGTAAGGACCGCAAGATCCAGCGATTAGTGGCTTTCGATTGCTCACGTTTTTATCATTCTCTATTTCTTTACTATACGCGTTCACGGCTTCTTTAGCGTAATCAACAGCTTTACGGATGATCTCGAGACTTTCTTCCTCGGTGATACCGAGATGTTTTACAAAACCGTCGATAGTTGCTTGATATGTATTTGTCTCTATGATATCGGCACCAGCACGCAAAAAATCCAAGTGAGTAGCGAAGACGGCCTTCGGTTTCGTTATGAGGAAACGCGCAGTCCACAGAGGATCACCGTTAATTTTTTCACCTATGTGGGTGGACAATTGTGTAGAAAAACCACCGTCCAGCACTTTTATCTTCGACATGATTATGTTCCTTTTCCTTGTTTTTAGAAGTTTATTAAGATTATTTAATTTTAATTTATTAAAACTTTGTCTGAAAAACCAATATCACATACAAAATCGACACATAAAAATTTTACTGCAGACGAATGTAAATGTATAGTTTGCATCTCAATTGCTCGATGTGCTCCACGATATTACAAGAAATTTATCCAATACACAGACTTTATACACATTACGGAGATAACTGTATGAAATGACTTATCATTGCAGTCTACATTTTGATAGTTAATTATGGAAGCATGTGTCATTAATGCGACCAAATAATCGCTTCTTCCGGAGTATTGCGTATTGATGTAGATTACTATATCACGCGCAGTACGTGATCATATCTAATGGCTGATGCAATATCGTCGTTTTATTACCAGGTATTCGTGCAAGTTGAAAACAGGAAAGTACATGCAGATAAGATATCGTTTAGCAATATAAATAAACGTTTTTTTAATTGATCGTTTGACCTTGCGAGATATTTGATGCAAAGTTCGGAATATAATTTAAGGCTGAGTTTTATGTTGCATGCATAATACACATGATGTATCGTTTTATCCAATGATGTTATCGTTGAATACTCCGCGAACAATAAGAATAAAATAAGATCTTATGCGCATTATGCGTGTTAAAAAAAAAACCGCCTAAATATATAGCGTATTTTGGGTGTATAGTTTTATTCATAAAGAAAAGAAAGAACACTAATAATCTTTATCTAATGGATTTTAATAGTTATTTCCATTAGTCACTACTACTGTGACGAATCAATTATTCAATTTTCTTATTTACGAAAATAAAACACTAGAATATATTATGTATTTCATATACCATATATTTCACTTGTACAAAAATTTATTTCTAATTTAATATGTCCTAGTAAAGAAATGTGCAAATATGAATGTTAAGTACAAAAATTGATGAGATCTTTATTTACATATTTTATATTGTTACACACACACGCACATGCACGCGCGCACACATATTCATATATATATTTATATTATAAGAAAAAAAGCGTATTTTAATATTAAGCACTTTTATGAATTTGCACTGTTTATTTTTCATAAAAAGTTAATGAAAAAATGTTATATCCCTAACAGCACAAATGTCGATATGTCAACTACAAGTCGACTTTGTTAAGTCAGGCCCTTTAGAGTCGACCGTAAGTCGACTTTATTCAGACGCCTATAGACGTCTTTAAATGTCGACTTTAGGACATCTAGAAGTAGACATTTGTAAAATAGTCGACTTGTCAGAAAGCCGCACGTATATGTCCGCATGATGGTTGACTTAAAGTTGACTTACAGTCGTCTTCAAAGTGGGACATTGTATGACTTGGAGACATCTCTAAGTTGTCTAAAGTCAACATACGGACGTTTTTTTTTTTCGGACGTCTAGCAGCATAAGTCGACTCAGAGTCGACTTATAAACGACTTTGTGCTATTAGGGATGTCATGATTATGTGTTTGCGATAAATATACAGATAAAAAATAAAAATTAATAACTACATATATACATATATGTATAAAAACTTTGAGTCGTAATGCAAGCAAAACATGTTAGTAATCAAATAGAAAAGTCTATAACACATTTTATCTTATTTTCTAAAGTCGTCTTGCTTAAGTATACATATATCTCTAAACACGTCATAGTACTTTGTACATCATTAGAAACATTATTGTAATGATAGAAATATTACAAATGATGATACTGCAATAATATTATCACACTAATTAAGTATCTAAATTTCATATTTTTTAGATAACAAATAAATGTGGACAATTTAATTATTTTGCAATGTACTTTGTGTAAGCAAATAAATCAATAACGTGTAAAAATACATAATTTGTCAAATATTTTAATTATTTACTTGAAAATAGTGTTTCAAAGAATTTTAAATTTGATAAATGCTTTGAATTCTATGAATTTTCCAAATGGAATGCGTCATAATATTTGAATGTTATAATTCTTAAAGTTAGATAGTGACACTTCTTTCGTACTTATTAGTAAAAAAATTATTTGAATAAACGTGAGAAAACATGTGAACAATTTTGTATCGTATAAATTGCTATTACAAAAAATAAATAAAATTAAAATATTTGCGTATTATGTACGAATATACTATTTCTCTCTTTTGCCTTGGCGCAATAAGAAATATTTTCTTTATTTCTACTTATAGTGATGCATTCTTGATATGCTATTAATCGCCATATGGCACATTAACTGAAATATTTTGCGAAATATTAAATTCGATATTATATCGCGTATTATTAAGTATAATTACTATTATGACAATATAAAAGGTTGTAAGATCGTTGCAGTGTAGAATTATGAATAATAAATTACTAAACCACACACTGAATCTTAAGGTATTCAGTAAATAATTTAGTATTCACAACAGCACGTGAATATAAAATTTCCAAACAAACTAAGCTTTCTGATCCACCTTGTGATTACTGATCATCACGTAACTAGGATTGCTGAAACCATCCGGCATACCCTTTCTCATATCATTCTTCTGTTTTGGCATGTTCACGTAGTTATCCTGCATGCAGATGATAGACGGCGCATAATCTTTTTTCTTCAAGTCCGTTGTGTCCGTTTGTGCGTCGTTCACATCCGTGTCGTTCAGATCTATTAATTGAAGATTCCGCGGCGCGTTGCAGTAACCGGAATCTCGATCGATCGGTCTATCGACTGTCTGATTCTTCATCGCTTGCCTTTGTCGCGCGAATTCCGCTCTTCGCTCGTGGACATTGATCGGCTTCAGGTAAGGATCCTCCTCAGACTTCTTCAACATGGGAGACAGCTCGACTGCGTCCTCGGAATCCGATGCGGGCGATGGAAACTCAAAGTGCGAGTGTTCCTGATGTGGTCTAGGACTAAATATTCCGGACTCGTCTGTCGGACAACCGGGGCTCATACATAAGTACGACGAATCCGGCGCGCTTTTCGAGAATGGTGAGTTCACGTAATCGTGACTCGGTGACGATAGAACTGCATGATCCGGCGCGGACATCATTGTCAAATAGTCGTTTTTTCCGCTTTCCAGATTCATCGTGTTCATATCCATGTACGGTGTATTTAGACTAATGTAATGCTGGAACAAAGATAAAAAACACTTTTGTTATGTGTTGTGTCTATTTTAAAACTTATCATTAATATATTAATTAATTATTTGTGTGTGTGTGATTAATATTATATTAATTAATACAATATATATACATATACAATTAGATCCAAAAATTTCGTATAGAATGCCTCGAAAAATGTATATATATTATATTTTTAAATTAAATGTTTAAAAACCTACTAATTATAATTTCTTTTATATAACTAATTTGAATACATATTATGTGTATTCACTGCACTTTTGATTCTGATCTTTTTTCAGTTTTAACACTGACAGTATAGAATCTCTTTTTAAATTCCTTGAGTTTAAATTATTATATGATTTAATTTGATAACTTTTTACGGCTGAGAAAGATTAGATGAAATTCGTAATGTTCTGTATTTTTGTCACATTCAATGTAAGTAAAGTTATATTATTAGTTATCTAGTTTGGACTCGTTTGAGTTTTTGACCTTTATTCAATTTTTTTTACATTTAAGCGATTATTCAATAATTTAACTATATGAATGTTAAAAATTATTTTTATTGTGTTTGATATTATTTATTATGTATTCCTTTGTTGAAGAACTATTTATTTATATGTTATATTTCTTTCCGTTTGTGTCCTTAATAATATTATTACCGTTATGGAACAAAATAACTCACCAATTTCACACTTTCTTCTAATAAATTGCCAATATTCTCCACAAGATCCGTAAAGCTCGGACGTAGCGTTGGTTTGGCTTTCCAACATTGTAACATGATATCATATACTTTCCGAATAGCGTAATCCGGTTGTTCCATTCTGTAGCCTTCAATCAATTTTTGATACAGCTTCTCTGCCTCCGTTCCGGGATATGGGGTTTCAGCTAAAGTGAAGAATTCCCACAATACTATGCCAAAACTCCAAATGTCGGACTGTGTCGAAAAAACTCGATCTCTGATTGATTCGATGGCCATCCATTTTATGGGCATCGGGCCATCACCTTTTTTCTTGTAATTGCCATCTTTGTACATAGTCTTTGCTAGACCAAAGTCACAAATCTTGACTATGTTGTTCTCGGCAAGCAAGATATTTCTTGCCGCCAGATCTCCATGCAAGACCTGGATAAATATATATGTTATCATTTAATGAAAGTACTATTAAAAGATGCATTTGATGCATAAAATATTATAACGTGTGAGTATTTGAATAGTTTGAACAAGTAAATTATTTTACCATGCCATGGTGACGATGTTATAAATCCAATTGTAAAGAGTTAATTCTTTACGTTGCTTGAAATTACGTAATTTTTAATTTATATTTTACATTTTTATATACTTTATTTTTATTTATTAATGAACTTAAAACATTAACATTTTATGCTTCTTTCGCAATTTTGCATTCGTCTATATCAAAACTTACGTTTCTTTGACAAAGATATTCCATTCCGCGTGCTACTTGGAACGCCCAAGACAGTAGGTCTTGAGTACAGATAGGTTTGAGATGTTGATCTTTGTAGTCACCGCAGTAATTTGATCTCCATCCTGGTTGAGATGAATTACTGTTGATACACCCATCTGGCGAGAAGTTAATCTCTGGAGAATCTGGATTCGTTCCCGGACAATAGTGCACCACCACATCAGTGTCTGAATTTGTACTAAGACTGCGAGAAAAGGACAATGCCGCATATTTTATCCTATTATATGGGCAAAAGAGAAAAGGAAAATCTTGTTAAACCACACCCATCGCATGCACCAGTTTGTATGTGTATTTTACTTACAATTAGTCTATTTTTATTTAACAGAATACACTTTATAACGTACACAAACAATTAATCAAGAATTATTAATTAGACGTTTTTGAAATTTCTCGTGCAAATTAAATTATTAATGCGAGATTCTTTGGCGTTAATATATAGAAATTTATTTTGTTAGAAATAGGTACATTTAATTAAAATCAAACAATATAAAGTCATTAATTATTCAATTTTAATTCAATCGATATTTCCTTTAGGATATCAAAGTAAACACACACATATTTTCTTTTTTAATTGGTTCACATAGTATTTGTATAAAAGCGTGAGGCTTAAAATGCAGCCAGTTTAGAATGGAATCAACTATT